GGCAGAAGGCTTCTGTCTGGCTTCCTGGCACTGGAACAAAGCACCACCGGGGGTATTCGCTGTACACACACAGAGTTTTCACCACTCACCTGAGGCCTGGAAAAGGACCCAGTCATCTCCACAGAGCCTGCTCCACTGTGTCCTTGGTTGCAGGGACACACACTGGTACTGGCTAGCCGAGTAGCATGGGCTCCTAGGAATCCAGTGAGTGTGGAATTCCCCTGGAATGGTGGTGAGGGAAGACTTTGCAAATGACTATGGAGGTTCTGGAATTCAGAAATATTTGTTCTTTCCCCCCAGGATTGTCTGGGAGTTGCAGGTGGGAGGATGCACTGAATGAGACATGGACACCTCACCTGCCTTTTGGGCAGATGAGGGACAACAGGTGCCATCAGGCAGGAAGGAGGTTCTGAGTCTGCCTAAGGGTCTGAGAGTCCCCTTCTCCTAAGCTACAACAGAGATGTCACCTACCCTTCCTCTGGGATGTCTGCCATGGGTGTGACAGCAGAGGGGTGACTCATCCTGGACACTTGCATGGCAAGTGTGAGCCAGAGCACAGGTCATGGGAAGCAGGAAACTCACAAGCGAGGCCAAAGTTAGGCTGTGTGGTAGTCTTTCAGGGAAGGGTGCAGGAGCACAGGTGTCAGGTGGAGGGATACAGCTTGGGAGGCTCCTAAGTCCCCACTGTGTGCTCAAGGCCAAAGCAGGGTGTGTGGTAGTCTTTCAGGGAAGGGTGCAGGAGCACAGGTGTCAGGTGGAGGGTTACAGCTTTGGGAGGCTGCTAAGTGCCCACTTTGTTTGCAGGCAGAACCACAAGGCAGCACTGAGGAAACCAGCAGTCAATCACACCAGACAGAATGCTCACACCAAGGTCACCGGACACAGGCTTTGAACACTGAGGCAGAACAGCCCGTGGGGAAGGACACCACAAAACAAGAAAGCTTTTCTTGTCCAGAAAAGGCAGGACTTCTATCCCAAGGAGTACTGCGCACAGCCCCACACCTGGCACTTATGTTGGGGAGCTCAGCATGTCACACCACCCCAGACACCAGGGCAAGAAGGTGTGCCCTGCAACAACAACAGAGTCTTTAGTGAGGACTGTTCAGTGTGTGCAAAGGTCAACACATGGCGCTTTTGAGGGCTCACCCTGTGCCTGTGCTCAGCTGGCCGGGAAGGAAGACTGGGTGGGCAAGCCCAGACTCCTGCACCAGGACAACACCTACACCACACCCCACAGAACTGGACTTGTGGGTTCCATGACAATGCCTGTGTGCAGCAGTAAATGCCTGCACCAGCATCAGCCTCTGACTGGGACCTGGTCCATCCTGAATGGCACCGCTTCCCAATCCCTGGGGCTTCATTTTCTTTCCCAGACCACGCCCAGACCCCCTGACTCCTTCACAGGGAAGGAAGGCCTTGCCCTGAAAAAGCCCTGGGGCTACATCCCTGGAAGGCCCACCCCCACACTTGTCCCATCTTCAAAACAGGGGAGGTTTGTGGCCGTACTCCTCACTTTACAAGAAGGCATAATCAAATTGCTTGTCTGCGCCCCTTCTCCAACACACCCCAAGAAAGACACCAAGTATGCATCAGTGGGCCATCTCCATGCTGAATGTACATCAAAGGGTCACCTTTGGTCACCTACTCTGGCCTGTGTCCTGTGGAACTAATGCCAGCGCTTAGGGTAATCAGTGCTCTTCACAGGAGGCCATGTCCCCTGAGGAAGAGTTGAACCCTAACCCAAAGGGAAGGCTTAATGTCCCCGGAGGCCATATGTAGGGGGCACCCCATACAACCTCAGTTACCTTCCTGCCTCAGTGACCCAGGGAGGGGGCTGAGCTCCTGTGTCCGAGCATGAGGTAGCGCCCTGGCTTCCTGTAGCCCTGTGCCAACTGAGCCTTCCACCAGGGGTCTTGCCAAACACAGCTTCACCTCCTCACTTCATTTCCCAGTGCTTCTGACCCCCCTGCACAGTGCCCCTAAGTGTGCCTTGTTGCCCAGGACCCAAGGCCTAAGAGGCTGAGAGTCTCAGCAGAAGACACTCACCATGTCTCTGACCAGCTGTGTCCACCCTGGAAAGGAACTCCTGCCATCCTGCGTGCTACCTGCTCTTTAGGGGTCTAGGGCCATCTACTGAGGACCACCCTGAGGGGTCTCACATGCAGAACAGTGAGCACTGGACACTGGAGGGCCTCGGGGGCCAGAGCCTTTCCTTCAATGTCCTTACCTTCCTAGGCAGAAGGGTAGCACCCAGTGAACTGGCCTTTCCCTTCTTGCTTATTCATGCCAGCCCCAGCCTGGTGAGAAGAACTGCACCTCCCAATGCTTTCCATAGCAATACTTACCCCTTCCACAGCGGTATGGGCCCAGCCCTGCCATGGTCATTGATGTGTTGGGAAGACACTAATATGCCTGCCCTGTCCCAGGCCAGCAGCCTAACAAACTACACGCAGTCACACATACATGCTCCTGTTTATTTTTCTTCCAGTTTGACTCCACCTACAGAATCCATTTGTCCCTGCCTGAAGGCCTCCTGGGCTGATCCCTCTTCAGTCATTGCTTGTGTGAGAGAATAATGTTTGCTTAAAGCCCCTTTTTGGAAAAGGCTGTTTCTATCAGATACTCCTTCAGGTGAAGTGGACCCTCTGTCTTATGCGTTGAGCCTCAGGCAACTCCTGCCACACAACACACCCTGGCACCATCACATCCACTCTGACCACTGTGAAGCCTTGGACAAAGATGTGCGCCTCTTGACAAGACAGAGAACCACATCTGCACCTGGGTCCTCTTAACTGTCCTCCACCCATGTGTTCCACACGTTCTTCCAGGTCCCTCTTCCAGGGACCAGTGTTCACAGGGGCAAGGCTGCACAGGGCACTCTTGGGAATATTCGAAGGTATCGAATATGAGGTCAAGGAAGACACTCCGCTAGGTCTATCTCCTAGGTGCTACCCACTATGCTGCCTACACCCAGGTGGGGATGGAGGTCTGAGGACACTGGGCAGGCCAACTGTCAAGGAAGGGCAGGTGGTGCAGAGGATGGGGTGGTGGGCCTGGAAGGAAAGGTCAGGAAGCAGAGGCAACCAGTCACCACTGGCTCCCAGGGGCTCTGGACATGCGCACTCCTTGGCAAACGTCACAGTTCCCCTGCATGAACTCGATGTGCAATGCAGTCCTCCCAGCATCCCCTCTTACCCTGATGACCTGGTCACCTGAGGCCCTGGGCTTTAACAGTCCCAGCCTGAATGGGTCCATGAGAGAAGAAAAAGGCCCAGCTACCCCTAAACCTCGGCCCAGTACCCAGCCAAGGACTCTTCACCTGTCCTCTCCTCGGACCCCTCAACTGCTGCCATCTTCCTCCTGTAGTACTTCAGGGGATTGGACCACAGGTCACCACAGATGCACTGTAAGACGGCACAGAAAAGGTCAGGTGGGCAGAGCTTGGATCCCCATCCCACACTACTAGGGACCACACCAAGGCCTTTGCTGACAGTGCCAGGGAGGCCGCACCTCTGCAATCCTGCCAGAGCCTGCCAGGCTGTGGTCAGAGAACCAGTTGAAGAAGTTAAGGCTGCTGTTGTTGTGCTTGCGCCTGTAGGCCTGCCGTCCATACCGCTTGTGCCACTGAATGGGAGTGGAATAGCAGGACCTGTACCCTGCAGGAAGAAAGTCAGGTGAAAAGGAAACAGCCAGCAACCCAACCCATTCTGGTGCCCACCTGCACAGGGTACTGTCACAGACCTGTCAGGGTGATGAGGTACTCCTTGACAATCATATCATTGCAGAAGTAGGGGTTCCTGCGAAACAAGAGCACCATCTTGCAGCGATCACTGCCTTTCTCCACCTGCAGGGTACAGTGGGTCAGGAGGCTGAGATCTCACTCCAGGCACTGGCCCTTTCCTCTTTGCAGGCACAGCTCATTCTCCCAAGGCCCCTCCCTCTGCCCCACATTCTCTCACAACCTCACCTTCAAGTCAGTCATGAAGCTCAGCATGCTTTCATCTTGCTCACTGATCATGGCTGACAACTCAGGGAGGTTGACAAACTGCTGTTGGTCAAGGAGCCTGCAGGTGGAATGCTGGACAGCAAGAGGCTAGGAAGTGGAGCTTGCATGCAGAAGAGCATGGTGTAGCCTCCCCTCTCCTGCCCCTAGGACCAGTCCTTGCTTGCATTGTGCTCGGAGGCCCCCAAAAGCCTGATATCCTGTCACCACTGGCACAGACACAGACCTGCTCCTTTCCACAACTGTCTCCCCTCTGGCTCATCCTCTGGTGCCCAGGCCTTGGCAGGATATGCTTTCTTGCCCAGAGCACACAGTGCACATGCTGGCCCGTGTCCTGCAGCAGTCCTGGCAGCAGGAGCTGGGCAATGTGGCCTCTGTGAGCCTGGACTTCACTGCTAGCACGAAGATAAGGCAGGTCCCCGCCAGTCTGTGTCAAGATGCCTTCTCTACCCCAAGCTTCATTGCACCACATCTAAGACCCATGAGCTCTTCTGCAGCACATCTAGGTTGCTCTGAACTATCCCAGCCAGAAACCTGTTTCCACCACTGCCCCTGCACACCGCGATGTCTACAATGCTTCCCCAAGGATACAGCTTTGGCCCAGAATCCAGGCAGACGCTGGATAATGGAGCTTCTGAGTTCCAGGTGGGGCTTTCTCCTCTGCCAATTCCTTTGCTGGAGGCGGGAGAAGGCTCTCCTGGCTTGCTCATTCACGGACTCCATCTCCAACTGGAGGGCCTCTAGCTCCTGCACGGGTGACCATCTGGAGGGGCCCCCAGGATCTGGCTGCCGCGGTCCGGCCGCAGCGGGTCAGGGGGTCCCACAGGTGAGGGCAAGGCGTCGGCGCTGGGTAACAGACGACAACACGCCTCAAAGGACAGTGAAGCTCTGTTCCGTTTATTGCAAGTATAAGCAGGTTTTTATAATTTTCATTTCAGGTAGTGATTAATATTTGTAGTATAACATGATCATTTAAGCAGAAAAAATTAATACAAAGGCAATCAGTAAAAGTATAAAAGTTCTTATAGATTTAGTTAAAAATTATTTTAACTAGGAGAGCTATTAATCAGACAGTTAAAAATATCTTATTGTATATTAAAGTTTCTCAGAATTTGGTATAGGGCATAAGGATATGCTAGCTGAGTAGAGAAAATAGGAGATTTATTATAAGGCCCTTGTGATGTCTAACTTAGCTATCTACTCTGTTTTTGCTTAAAATGTTTTTTTTTGTGTACTACAAATTCTGACTCCCTAGTGACTGTTCAGTTTGTAATAACTAACTAGCTTTTGTTATTACTTTGCCTGTCTAGTTGATATATATTCCTATTCAAGGTAAAGGAGGGGCTGTTCCTATGTTGTAGGGGGCTTTCAAGGGTATTTCTTTTAAGTTTCTCTAGGAGTTCTTTTATAGACATGTTTTGTACTTTAATTCCTTCTAAGAAAGTAGTGAGATCATCTCCTGATTTTTTAGAGTATTCTATCTTATCTTGGGTGTTTTTCTAATGATTGTTATTGATTAAGTTTGAATTCTCAGATTGTTCTGATTGTTTCCTTCTGCCTATATTCCCTGATGTTCTAGTATGATATTATTATTCTGTTTATTGAGCCGGGAAATGTCCAGGCACACTATCTGAATCACTGCCAGGGTATTCATAATGATTAAAGCAAAAAAGGTCATGATCTCTAAAGCAAGTACAATCACAATAGGTATTGCAAGGCCTTCCATGCCACGTCCACCAGGTTGGAAACTGTTTCCTTGAAGTCTTACACCCCCTCTCAGGACTTTGTTACAGAGAGAGGGATCTAACAGTGTACGCGGCAGTGGACGTGGCATTTCCCTTTCTTTTATTTTTCAGCTGAAAGTGATGAAATTCTAATGTAGTTTTTCGAAGGGAGGAGAGGATTACTCTGAAGATGACTGGAAAAACAAGGATTAAAATTAGAATAATTAAGCCAGTGATTCAAATATGTATTAAACTAGACCACCACATGACAGGGTTGATGGATTCTTGAATAGACTTCCAGATTCTGTTTGCAATTTCAGAACCTGGTGTAGTTAAATATGCTTGACTAATTTCTGTAATTTTAGTATGTAGGCCTTTAAGATCAGGTCTTAACATAGTATCGTGTCAAATACTTTGTAAATGAGTTTTTATTTGAGGCCAAGTGGTGGAATTTTGATCATAAGGCAAAGGTGTGACACAAATTTATTTAAAATCTGTTTGACAACTAGTAGTCATTTGAGTCTTTATATTTTGAATTTGGTTTCCTAAATATATAACCATATTTTCTAAGGCATTTATTCTAGTTTCTAATTTCTTATCAATTTTTTTTTGCAGAATTAGTGTGAGGGAAATATTGTGAGAGAGCTGATTAATATGTTGTGTAGTATGTACTTCTTGTACTAAAGCAGTAGTTGATAATGTAATAGAGGTTATTATATTGATTAAAGTAGTAATTTTTAATATTAGAGTGGCTACAAATTTTTTTGGTCTTATTAATCTATCTATTTTTTTAGTATATATAAACCTGTATTAGTATACTAATTTTTAGATAGTATTACAGGCATTATGACATGTGAAGGCTGAAAAACTATCATGAATGTAGTCAAACTCGTGGGTAGTCTTGAATTAATGTAATTAGTTAAAATACAATTAGAACAATTAATATAAAAGGAAGACTCTTGTTGTTCAGTATAAATAGGTCCTATTAAAATTGCATGGGGAGTATTGACACAGGCTTTAGGAAGTTATTTTAAAGATATGCAGTAAGGCCTTGTGTCTGAACTCAGGGTGAGAGAGTTTTAGGAAGAACAAGTTATAAAGTGTTATTAGAATTAATAAACAATTAATGGTTCCAAGGACCCACATTCTTAGAGTGAGTTTATCAAACTAATGTTTTGGGGTTCAGTTAGTCAAAATTGTCACAGAGGGTTTGAAGAACTTCTTTCTCTGTTAGGCGTTGAATGTCCTGTAATTGTTATAGCTCTAAATGTAGTTTTAGCTGTAATTTATCAATTTGTTCTTTCAAGTTGGTAGAAAAAGTCTCTCTTAGGTGATGTTGAATACCGCTCCAGGGCTGCTAGCTGGAATTCCACTTCAGGGAGATGACATACAGCTTGGAGAAGTCTGGATCAAGAGAGTCTAATGGGTGGAGGTGGGTCATGGCCAGGGAAGCCTTTTCTGTGATATGGCTTCATTTTCATTGTTGCAGTTCTAAGAGTCATTTTGGAAAGCAAACACAAGCATACCTTCTTCCCCAAGTTAAAAGTTCTACAGAGCCCTGTCAAGTGCCATCTCTTAGTAGATTTTTAAATAAAGGTGGCTTGGACTTTTTTGTCTGGAAATGTTTTATAATTGGAGTATAGAGCAATATATCAATATTTAGAAAATTATAGGTAAATATGGCCAGTGAAATTAAATTTTGGGGGGGAGGACTCATGACTCTCTTTTTTGTTTTTAAGAAGATCTTGTAAAGTATTATGAGCTTGTTCTATAATTGTCTGACTGGTTGGATGGTAAAGTATTTTTTGTTTTATGTTGAATATTCTAATGTTGAAGAAAAACTTGAGTAGAATAAGCAAGGTATTTAGGTCAATATCAGTTTTAATTTGCTGAGGCTGTCCTCAAGCCAATGGACTTGTATATTTTTTGCAGATTTTTTTTAAAGTAGATGTATGTAAAGTGCCAGAAGAAGTATCGATAGAAATATGAATGTATATGAATTTTCTAAGGAGAGTATAATGAGTGATATTCGTTTGTTAAATTATTTGAGAACTTAATCTTTGAGGATTAACTCTTGTAAAATGAGGATATTCTTTAATAATTTGAAAAAATGGTTATATGTCAAGGGCTTTTTGTGACTTGATTGACTAATCGTTTTTCCTTGGGAATAGAATAGCCAGTTCTTTCCCAAGGAAATGATCAGTGTTTACAGGTACTGAGTTAAAAAATGGTACTTTGTTTTCCAGGGAGAAGGGCTAGTTCTCCCAGGGAGACAGTACTTAGATCTCAGTTTTATAATAAAGGTCACAGTTCTGGCATAAACAAGGAGGATTTTTAATATTTTTTAATATGTCATATTTTATGTCACTTTTATCATGTTTTATATTGATAAATTTATGAATACATTCATAACCTTTAGAAATAGTTTTTTTATTGGCAAATATTTTTATTTTTTTGTTAATTTTTATTGATTATTGCAAGGGGGGAGATGTTAAGTTCTACACTTCTTGTTCTTAAGATTAAAGTAGTCTCTGAGTCTCTAGAAGGAGGATTCAGAGTGGTTAAAAGACACATTTTTTTATTATTTTTTTTCTTGTGTCTTTTACTGTCTGAGGGAAGTGAGATTTTTTTTAAAGAATTAATTTAAATTTTTTCTGAGTAGAATCTTTATGATGTAATAATATTAGAGATCTTATTCTACTCATTGAAATATTTTGAGACTGAGATGTTATTTTAAAAATAAAAATAAAAATAAAATTCAAGTAAATTAATATTTTAAATTAAATTCTCTAAAGGAGGGAGTGAGATACTAGTCTTTATCTTATACTATCTGGTGCTGTTTCAATCTCTGCCTAATTTTTCCTAAATAACTAAGTCTAAAGATTCTTTATCAGGATGATATTTAGCAACTTTAAAAAACTGCTAAATTAGTATAAAATATTGCTCTTGTTCTTTAGAGAGCCTATACTTGTTAAAAAGTTTCTTTTTTACTTTTGATTTCTGCCATTTCAGATTTTGTAGCCTGTTTTAAACTTTAACTAATTAGTTATTGGGGAGCACAGTGTGGTGGGTCAGAAATGTGCTGTTGGTGAAAACCCCCAGGGAGGGCTGCCTGGTGCCCAGGGTACCGTGACCCCGCTTATGGGTTTTAGGTTTTTCCCACGCTTCTAAAACTGCGAGGGAGGGCTCGAAGCGCCAGGTGACCAACCTTTATATTGCGCTCCCTGACTGAGCCCAGAGTTAAGACATGATTTTGCTGTTTGTTGCCAATCGTAAGGGGTCATCCACTCAGCAGCAATGGAATCTACAAGCTGCAAAGTATAAGGGGAAGTAGGACCAAAGTCCTTAACAGCCGTTTTTATTTCTTTTATTAACTTAAACGGCAAAGGTTCTCACTGCGGGGGGTCCTGAGGAGTTATTGGAAAAATCACTGGGAAGCAATTCAAGGTCTCACCCTGCCTCCTTGCCTCTCTCATGGCCCCTAGAAACCCGACCTTCTTAGGCAGACGCTTCGCTTGCCGAGACCGAACGGACTTTATTTTTACTTTTACTTTCCGGTCTGGCAGCGCAGCTAACGCCAAGGGGCCGAAATCTTCAGAATGATATCGAGCAGCTTCTTCTTCTAATTCAGTCTGATAATTAGGCGGCAACTCTTCCTTTTTCTCAGGCTGTTCATTATCCGAGTCAGAGTCAGACTCACTCTCACTGTTTTCATGCTTATCTAGAGCAGGCGGCGGGGCAGAAGGTTTTCACAAGTTGCTATTTTTACCGCCGCACACAAAGGCTGCTTTTCCTCCTCGGTCGCCTGTTTAGCGAGGCACGCAACCTCATGAGTGGGGTCAAAACTATCTTTTAAAACATTCCAAAGGGGAAAAGCACCTACTGGAACCTTTTCGGGCCCATGAAGGGTATAATAAGTCTTCATATCTTGGCCAAGTCGCTGCCAAGTCTCTGGATTCACTGATCCCTCCTCCGGGAACCAGGGCGCACATTCTTGAACAAAATGAAAAAAATCTCTAAGCTGTCTTCCTGACACACTTATTCCTCTCTTATGGAGCATATGCTTAGTTATATCAATGAATAAACCTCTTTCTTTGGACTCTGCATGTCCCATGATTACTCACCCTTTGCTACCTGGTCTATCTACCAGGGGGTCTGCAGCACCCGGTTGGTGAGGGCCTAGCCTACCCGATAATAATTTAAGGGGTCTTACCTGAGGGTCCCTGTTCGGGCGCCACTTGCCGCGGTCCAGCCGCAGCGGGTCAGGGGGTCCCACAGGTGAGGGCAAGGCGTCGGCGCTGGGTAACAGACGACAACACGCCTCAAAGGACAGTGAAGCTCTGTTCCGTTTATTGCAAGTATAAGCAGGTTTTTATAATTTTCATTTCAGGTAGTGATTAATATTTGTAGTATAACATGATCATTTAAGCAGAAAAAATCAATACAAAGGCAATCAGTAAAAGTACAAAAGTTCCCATAGATTTAGTTAAAAATTATTTTAACTAGGAGAGCCATTAATCAGACAGTTAAAAATATCTTATTGTATATTAAAGTTTCTCAGAATTTGGTATAGGGCATAAGGATACGCTAGCTGAGTAGAGAAAATAGGAGATTTATTATAAGGCCCTTGTGATGTCTAACTTAGCTATCTACCCTTTTTTTGCTTAAAATGTTTTTTCTGTGTACTATAAATTCTGACTCCCTAGTGACTGTTCAGTTTGTAATAACTAACTAGCTTTTGTTATTACTTTGCCTGTCTAGTTGATATATATTCCTATTCAAGGTAAAGGAGGGGCTGTTCCTATGTTGCAGGGGGCTTTCAAGGGTACTTCTTTTAAGTTTCTCTAGGAGTTCTTTTATAGACATGTTTTGTACTTTAATTCCTTCTAAGAAAGTAGTGAGATCATCTCCTGATTTTTTAGAGTATTCTATCTTATCTTGGGTGTTTTTCTAATGATTGTTATTGATTAAGTTTGAATTCTCAGATTGTTCTGATTGTTTCCTTGTGCCTATATTCCCTGACGTTCTAGTATGATATTATTATTCTGTTCATTGAGCCGGGAAAGGTCCAGGCACACTATCTGAATCACTGCCAGGGTATTCATAATGATTAAAGCAAAAAAGGTCATGATCTCTAAAGCAAGTACAATCACAATAGGTATTGCAAGGCCTTCCATGCCAAGTCCACCAGGTTGGAAACTGCTTCCTTGAAGTCTTACACCCCCTCTCAGGACCTTGTCACAGAGAGAGGGATCCAACAGTGGACGCGGCAGTGGACGTGGCATCTGGCCCTGGTTGCTCCTTTTTCACTGACTCCGGGCCTTCTTCCTTTCTTTCTGCCTGTGACCCCTCCTCTGCCTCCTCCTCCACCTGCCCCTGCAGTCTGAAGCCGGCCCTCTCCAGCACAGACTCTTCCCCAGCTGCCCATTGGCCCTGAACCCCCTGCTACTGGTCCCACTCCCCAGCTGCCTCTGGCCGCCCTGTGACCTCATCCTCCTCTTCCTCTGCTAAGGAGCCCTCAGCCAACACCTCCTCCTGCCTGCCCACATGCAGGTCTAACCAGACCTTTGCCTCTGACCCCAAACTTTCATCCTCTGCCCAAACCTGCACCACGTGCATGAGGTCTGCCCCTTCTGCCACAAACTGCTCCCCTGATACCAGTGCACTCTGCCGTCCCTGCTCCTCCTCCAATAGCTCAGCCATGGAAGCACTCTGCTGGACCTCAGGCTTTTCATGGTCCCCCAGCTGCGACTCAGCCAACACAGCCTCCCCTCTGCCCACCTCATGTGGCCTCAACTCCGCACCTGCTGCTGCCACACTTGCACTCCCTGCAGCCAAGAGACTGTCCCCAGACACCAAGATTTGGTCCACTGCCAACGCCTGGCACACGTGGTCCAGTCCTAATCCCACGTCTACACTGCACAGCTCCTGGGCCCTCACCTCCACAGCATCACCTTCCTGTGCCAAGGCCAACAGGGAGTCACAAGCACCCTGGGCCCCACCATCAGCCTCGGCCTCCATCATCCAATCGCCCCCTTTGGCGCCCTCTGTCTGCTCCAAGCCTTCCCCAGCCTCACCCGAACCAACCAAAAGGACCCAGGAGGCCTGTGCAGCATCCCTGCTGGCGGCTAACCCTGGTCGGCGTCAGAAGTGGCCCTGGCCCACTTCACGGACAAGCTCACAAAATGCCCACCAACGCTGTGACCACTGTCAGGGGTGCCCCGAGCCCCACGCCCAGATCTTCCAAGCAGGGTATCAGAGCCAATCCCGGAGCTGGGGACCAAGGTGCATGCACACAGGCCTTCATGCCCAGTGGCCACATTGACCCCTCCAAGGACCCCTCTGCCCTCAGCCAGGTGTCGCATGTTCTGCACGCACCTCCTGACTGCCACAAGTCTCCTCCAATCAGTGAGGTGGCCTTGGGCGCCTACTTCCGGGCCCCACCTGTCAGCGCCTGGCAGGAGTTCCCTTCCTCCTGGTGCTGCCCCAGGGGCCCACGAAGCCAAGCCCACCCTCAGAGCTTCTTCTGGGCTTTCCCCGCTATCGCCCCCGCCCAGCACCCACACAGGGTCTGTCCACTTCCCAGGCGTGCTCACCACCACCAAGGGAAACGCCGTGCCGCTTTCTCACTCCCTAGCTACACTTACTCCCCCACTCGTCTCCATGAAAACACTTTCTTTTCTATCTGCATTGGTGTGGCTATTCTGCATGGGTGGTGCTGCTGGATTCACCCCCTGGGTGCCCCATTCTTCCTCCTCGTCTGCCATACAGGAAACATCTTGGAGTATCACGCATGCAGCATGCATCAATACAGCCCTCATGCTCCTGTCAGGGCTCAGGAAATACTCCCTTGTAGGTGGCCTTGACAGGGCGTGTTTACCAGTTTTGTTTATCTCTGCCATAGGAATGTGGCCACCCTGCATGTACAAGTCTTGGAGGACCTGTCTTCAGTGATCTGGTGGTTGCAGATTGCAGTGCAATGCCCGAGTCAGAAGGTCCTTCTGCATTGTTGTTTATGGAATGTCCCCTGGTTTTCAGAGCAGCTTCAGCATTTCCACCTTCGTGTGGTCAGTGCACAGGATTCCAGTTCCCCTACCACCTCACCAATCCTTGACACATGCCTTCCCAGAAAGTATAGCCTCCCTAGCAGTAAAGTAGAAGCCCAACAGCATCTGAGCATGGTTTCAGTGTGCATTTTGCTGGTGAGCATTTCAACTGACCTCCACCTCACTTGCTTTTAGCTGCTTGCATGTCTTTTCTGGAGAACCGTGGTTTAAAAGGTTGGCTATTTAAGTTTTGGGCCTTGTTGTTCGACAGGGTTTCTATCCATGGAGGATCTTCCAATGTGTGTGTAAAGATTTCTGCTTTGTTCACTGCAGTTATTTATGCAGGGGTTGTCCACATACTGTAGACAGGACACATGACCATGATATGGGTATTGTCTTTCCCAGGCTGAGCATTGCCGAAAATATACTGGCATTACAAGTCTTTCCCCCTTTTATCAAATAGCTGCATGCAAATATTTTCTTGGAAGTAGTTAGCAGTATTTATTTTAATTTGGTGATTGTGATGGCTATGGTGTCTTTTGTGACAAAGAATCTTCAGAATACCCAAGAGGAAACTCTTACAAGGATTCATCTGGGTGTTATGGTAAGAGTTCAGTATTGGTTTGAAAGTGTAGATTTAGTTTTTGTAAGCCAGACGGTGTTTAAATCAAAGTTTACTCTCATCCCAGAATGGAAAACTACCTGTATAATGCAGTTTTCATTCCTCCGAAGTTCTTAAAGTATTTTTCTAATAGCTCATTTCAAAGAATAGATTAATTTGAAGAGTAAGGAGACAGTCTCCTCTCTTTCCTGAACTAAATGTATGTTGTGCATTCAGATGTTGCTGACACTGTCCCCATTTCCCTCTTTCTGTCCACACCCAGGTAGTTCCTGGCCCCTGGGCCCTGTGACCTTCACCATATTTGGGCCTGTTTCCATGGCCTTTGCTTATGTGTGCTTTGGTTGATGTATATTTTAACATTTTTACAGAACATGGAGTGATTTTCTGGCAGATCAAAGCTCAGGGAGAAGTTGATGTTCAATCCATTTTCACAACATGGGCCTGTGAATACTCACCTTAAATCATCAGGTTAGGTTGGAAAGAATGACTGTTAAACTTTTGTTTTTTCATTAAGTGACCAGCCCCTTGACTACTTCACCCTAGCTGCCTTCTTTACAGCACAGGCTGGTTAAGAATATGGTCCCTAAGCATGTACTCGGGGTCATGGTGTCATGATTCAAAAACTCTGGGGAACGGAATTGAAGTATTGCTTTTGGGCCATTAACTCTCAGGTCACCTGTGTGCATCACCACCATCAGGAAGGCCCCCTCTGATGTCCAGTGGAAGCCAGGTTTCTGAAGACTGGTGTGGCAGCTCATGAGCTGATTATAAGGGAGGACTTGAAAATTACCCAAGCAATCAGCAAGATAAATGTTCAAGGGAGGGGTGAACATGGCAGCAGATGAGGCCACAGAGCTGGTTATACCCTGCTGTTGCCATTCTCACAGAAACTCAAAAAAGGGGCTTCTGCCAAGGGAGGTGGTGGCGAAGCTGATTTGAAAGGGGTTATTGAGGATAACCAAAGACACTGAAATGGAGAATTGGCTGACAGTGAGCAGGGTGAAGAGGGGAGGGAATTGCAGGTAGAAATGGTGAAAGCTTTGCAGGAACAAATATAAAGGACACATGGGCAATAAATAAAGGGGGTAGAAATGAGAGGTAGGTGGGGAAGTCTCATGGAGTGGCCCAGGGGGTGGGGGAGAAGGCAGAAAACTGTACTTGAACAGCAATTCAAATTGAAAAAAATAAAAAGAGGTGTTGAAGCAGATATTAGAAAACAACACTGAGTCCTGTACCAGGTTTCCCTTCCACAAAGAAAAGCCAAGGGCCACTTCTCTGGTCTCTGGGCATCATTACTGAAAGGAATGCGTCAGTCTGGGGAAGACCAAGGAGTTGAATTATTCCAGGTTGTTTGATTAATGCCAATTTAATGGAAAGAATATAATTTAACTGTTCAATGGCTATATGTTAAAATTTTCCAATCAACCCTACCCACAAACTGTGACTTCTTCTGATTTTGCTTCTGAGGCAAGCCTAAAAGCAATTTCTAGGGAGGGTGAATTGCACTATTGGCCTAAATGTGCTCTCTGGAACATTGCTGCCTTCAAAACGACCATATTTTTGGACTATAAGATGCAGCAGCCAACAAATTAGAAAGGAATAATGCTTGTTAGTGCTGCAGTTGAGTTCTGTTTGCATGTACATGGGTGAAATAGGATGCCAATTATGGTATTAAATACTTCACCACATTTTTTTGCTTCAAAATGTTTTTCCTCTTCTTTTTCCTTTGAAACCTCGGTGAGTCCTATGGCCCAAAAAATATGGGTAACTGCTATGTTTCTTTTCCATGCCACCTTTTCTGCTTTTTACTTAGGGAAGCTAAACAAACTATATTTACCTGTTTGGCAACCTTACTACATGAAAAGCTTTGAGGAAGCCTGCGGCAAGGCCACAGAACCACCTTTGCCTGAAACTGTGCTATTTTGAATGTCCTTAGTTTTTTTAATAGAAGAGTGTATGTGGCAAGAAAAGCTTGATATGCACACATACAAATGGTTTAACAGATCTAACATGAAGCTTCCATGTTCTTTCTGAAGTCAAAGCAGCACATGAGTGTGTGGGAATAACGGCATTTACACCAAGTGTCCCACTCAAATCCAGGGGTCAAGTTAACATCCCTCACTACGTATCCAATGAAAGAAGGCCAGGGTCCCCAGATTGAAGAATGTTGTATTTTGCAGTTGCTTGTTAAAGTTCCTTGAAATGTGTCCAAATTCATGTATCTAAAAGGGTTTCATGGAATGCTCTCACAAGTAGTAATTTAGCTAGAAAGTTTAGGATTTTTACCAGTGAATTTAAGAGATGTCATGAGTCGGAGTGCATTTGAAAAACTCATTTCTCCTGGGGAACTTAAGTGTACAAAGTTTTCTCAGTGACTTCCAAGTTGAATTTACAAAATTGTCTGAAAATTCTCGGTCTCTTAAAAGTTGGGCATTTTTTCCTGAAACCATATTAGTCAAATTCCTGGGATGGCATGAGTGCTGGAACCTCAGTTGTGTAAGGACTTAAGAAACTAGCATATTAAGAAATGTTAAAGGGACTTATCTAAGAAAAAGAAGTTAAAGAAAAATGAACAGTGAAAGGACAACAAAATCAGTTATTAACAACCACACCTAAAACAAAAGCAAACTAAAAAGACAGCTAGATCAGGAGTGGAAACATAGAAATGAAGATCTCAGGAGGGTTAGCAACAGGGGAGTGGGAGGAGGAGAAGGGGGGAGAAGGTACAGAAAATAAGTAGCCTAGACAGTAGATAGAAAATAGATGGGGGGGGGCAAAAATAGCATGGGAAATATAGAATCTAAAGAACTTGAGACACATGGATATAAACTAAAGGGGGTTAATGGTGGGGACAGGGGTACGGTGGAGGGGAATGAAGGGGGGAATAGAACCACTGTGACAGCATAATCAAAAAATACTAAAAAAAAACTAGCATATTAAGTTGAAAGGTTAGTGAATACACACTAAGCAGTGAAAGGACAAGCTAGTAAGTCTGGATGCACCAGGGACTGAGAGGTACAGAACGAGAGTTACCAGGTAGGCATGGGCATGGACATTACAGCACAGAAGACAGAGTGAATCCCGTTGTCTAAGTGTACATGTTTCCAGGTGGGATCTGGGAATATGAGCAGCCACACTTCATAAATGTACAGCTATCTAGAGACTGTGCATGACATCTAAATGCATACAAAATAATATAGACAAAAAGGTCTAGGAATTGCAAGTTAAACAATACTGGGGGTGCAAAAAACGAGCCAGTTTTCCTGAGTGTACACCATACTGGGGCTAGTTCCCATGGTGAAGCATTGGTGATTCTTGAAAACACATACAGAGTCATGAGAGAGGAAGGACCC